AAAACCATTCTGAAAATGGACTATATTATTTTAAAAAAGAGTGAAAGAGCCTGTAGCTGTCATCCCTAACAGATTGCCTTGTTGCTGTTTCTGCCAACTTCTGAGAGAAGAAATATTTCCATTCAGTTCCAATTTTCAACATAAGTAAATAAGGAAGTAATGTGGCTGATTTCCGTTCTAGTGGCTCAATACTAAGTTGGCTGAGGAAACTGTTGTTTGCAGAAATAGTTCTAGGATAACTCAAAAGGGGAAAAATACCAGCACCCAGATGGTATTGTTTTTTGCTCCAATTATACTGGGATATTAATGCTTCATTCCCCATAGTTAAATGTGTTCCAGGCTGTATTTACAGTGTATCTACTCTTCTCTGCCAGCACTGTTACACTTGGAGAATGAAGGAGTTCCTACAAACTAGTACACAAATTGACAAAGTGGCATTTTGAATTGGCAAGGAAGAAAAAGAACAAATGATGAGCAGATTGTTAGCACTACTCTATCCTTTGCAAAAAACAAACACAAAGTTGTTTTGCTTATACTTAAGCATTGTTATAGAGATCTGTAACATTTAAAGGTAGTAGTATTAAAACAGAAACGGGCCATTTTGAGGTCCATTTACTTACACATTTCTAATTAAAATAGCCCTTACACTTCTAGTAGTTTCTCTGAGCTATAACACACCTCATAACTGGCCATTTGGGCAGTTTCAGCTCAAACCTCCACATATTTTCTGGCACACTAAAAAACACCTTCTGTATTGACTGTATTCTGTATTGATTACATTACTTAGAGTTTTGCTTTAAACCTAGGATTATATCAGTAATATCTAACATAATTTGTATCTTGACAAAAACATTTGTTGAATATGCTCCTACAGGCAAATGACAAAAATATGGAGAGGCAGGCTGAGGATCTCTCTGCTCCAACTTTTTTCTCTATAGTCTGAAACATCCTTCAGTATCTTAAGTTCAGTGTATCTTAGCCTCAGATCCATTTTTCCAATATATACATAGCTTCAACCATAGCACATAATTCTTTCAATTTTTTTAATACCAAAATTATAGGAACAAGGCTCAGTGGTTATGAGAACAGGTCTCAAGAGTACCTGATTCTATCTCTGGGTGAAGCTGTGGGTTTGAAAGGCCTTAATTTTCACAGCTGCTGACTAAGGTTATTATAGGGTAGTTGTACAGACTAGATGAATGGATGTGAGTAAATTATAAATACGTGTCATAATTATTCTGCTTCCTAGATGTTTTTCAATTAAGTCTTTTTGTCCTTGCCCTAGGTCACTGGCCTTTCATCTCATCTGGGTACCACACTATCCTTTTAATTTCTAAATGGATCTCCATAAGTCCAATCTTATCCATCTGATATAGTAAAATACTGCCTTTCTCAGAATTGGTTCTAAAGACAAATCCAAGCAAGTCCAGACAATTTCAAAATCTATTAGTGATTTTTCTTTGGTACATGAGATAAACTAAAAATTCCAGACTGGCATCCATAATTCTCAGAAACAGATTCAGGTGGCACATCAGAAGTGATGGGAAGGAGCCCAACAGTGTATATATGAGCAAAAATGTTCACTGAATTAATAAAGTGATTTAGAAATTAAGTAGGGACTTTAGTTATACCTCCATCACTAATCAGCTCTGATGTTCTCTTGTGACCTAAGTTTCCACATCTGGAGGCTGATTATTATTCTTTCTTTGCTCTTGTCCTTTAATTTTTCCAGCTTTCTTGTCTAGGCACCAAGTCACAACTATGTTTGGTCTAGTCTCTAAATAATTTTTCATATTAAGTTCTGCTTCTAGTTATTCCTATTGCTTAAAAAGTTTCTGTCCTTCCCCACTGATCTCTTCATGTGAAAATTCTACTCTCCCTACCATATCTAATTTCATCTTACTCAGGAAGCCTCTCACCTAAACTCATACCTCACCCTCTTTATTTTGGATAAATTTCTTTTGCTGTCAATTTCCTAGAACATTGAGAGTACTCTATTGTACGACTTACTGCAGTTTCCTTTCTTTAAGAGTTATTTTTTCTGTTCAAAAGACTATAAGTCTGAAATCTTTCTCAGTTTTTAGCAGAGGACCATTGCCTGTGTTGAGTGCTCAATATTTTGAGTTCAGATACTCAGCAACTCTACAGTCAGAAATGTGTCTGCTGCAAATTTCTTACTAACATCCCAGAGTTTCAGGCTCTGGAATGTGAATAAAGAGATTTGAAGGCAAGGAAACACAGCTTTTTTTTAAAAAAAATTTCAGTAGGCAGGACACTCTAGATAGAGTTTGACTTATAATTGGTTTCTCAAACTGCAACTTTTAGATCTATTACCTCAAATTAATTTGTGGTGCTTGCTACAGATGTGAATTCTTGGCTCTACTCAGACTTACTACCTTGACTTCTCTAGCGGGAAGGATCTAGACATCCCTATGTATGTATGTATCTATCTATATTTATATTTTCATACTGGGGATTGAACCCAGGGCTGCTTAACCACTGAGAAACACTGCCAGTCCTTTTATTTTGGGACAGGATCTCGCTAAGTTGCTTAGGGTCTTGCTGCATTGCTGAGGCTGGTCTCAAACTTCAAAACTCCTGCCTCAGCCTCCTGAGAAGCTGTGTTTACTAGCAACATCCAGATTGGACATCTGCATTTTTAATGTGTATATAGTTTTAGTGATTTAAGTCAATCTTATATTTGATTGTCCTATGTTTCTTATGACATCCTATATTTTTTTATGACAATATCATAATTTAACAATTCTCGAAGTGTTGTGTAGGGACTCTTGGGTGTCTTTGGGGCTTTTTTTTTCTTTTTGATGGGGGGCATTGAACTCATGGGTGCTTAACTACTGAGCCACATCCTAAACCACTTTTTAAAAATTTTTTAAATTCTGAGACAAGGTCTTGCTAAGTTGCTTAGGGCCTTGCTAAATTTGAGGCTGGCCTCAAAATTATGATCCTCCTGTGTGTGCCACCATGCCTGGCTGGATGTTCCTGGATCTTTGTCAAAACTGTATTTGTAGTAGTATTAGGACATTTGCCTTTTTCACTTTCATTCTCACTACATGATGTGATTTTCCAGAGGCTTTGTGATGAGTGATACTCTGAGAGAATGCAGAAGAAATGAGAATCTAGCTATCTCCTACTAAGACAGACATTAAAGAAATTTGTAAAAATGTAAAACAGAGCCATTCTCAATATTTTTATTTGTTTTGGAAAAATATTCTTTATAAAAATGCTAATTATATTATTATGTAATGAATTCATTATTTTAAAAGGAAACAGATGCTTTAAAAGTTGTTTTGATTTCTAAAATGGTAAATATTGATAGCTGTAATTTACACACACATACAAACAACTCTTTGAAGTTCCCCATATGTTTTAAAAGTGTAAAAGGATTCTAATGCTAAAACGTTTGATAACTGCAGTTATAAGTGACAGGAACACTTAAAAAAGTTTCTTTTTTTTGGTTGTAGTTGGACACAACTACAACTTTATTTTATTTATTTTCATGTGGTCCTGAGGATTGAACCCAGTGCCTCACAAATGCTAGGTGAGCCCTCTACTGATGAGCCACAACCCACCCCGACATTTTTTTTAACTAATAATTCTCAATTTATTAAAAAGGGTTCTACATCTTTGCAACCAGTGCCAGATTAATACTCATACTTTAAAGATAAGATTAGTACACTTAAGCCATTTATCAAGATAAGGTAATCCCAATTTTATTCACTTTCCATTGCGACAGAAAAAAATCAGAGGAAACGTTCCATTTTATATGTATATGATATTTACTTGTTTCCCAATTTGGAGTAGGAATTTTTTAACAAGTTCCAGATGATACTGATGCACCTAAATTTAAAGAACCATCATCCAGAAGCAAAGGAAAATATCTGAAGGACTTAAAAGGAGCAATTATTATATCTGGACATTAAGATAATCCTGAAGGCACTAAAGTGCAGGTGGAAGACCTGGATTCTTTTTTTTTAAATTTTTTTTTTATTGTTGTAGATGGACAGCATGCCTTTATTTTATTTATTTACTTTTTTATGTGGTGCTGAGGATCGAACCCAGTGCCTCACACATGCTAGGCAAGTATTCTGCCACTGAGCTCCAGCTCCAGCCCAAGACCTTAAAAGCCGAGTCCCTGCCTGGTGCCCAATTTTCCACATCTTTATAATAAAATGTTTTTCATGCATTTCTAGTTCTGCCAATCAACCACGGTTTCATGCATTCCCACTGCTCAAGGGCAAATGAAGAGCTGCATCTTTCTGATGAGGGCGAGAACATAAATCAGAGCATGTCACTCTTTTGCTTAGAAACCTTCAATCATTTTCCATTGAATTCCACATAGAAGTGAAACTCTTACCCTGGCTCATAGGCCTCACAAGAATTGGTTCCTAAATCCTTGACCTCATCTCCCTCCCTCCTCATCTTGCCCGTTTTGCTCCAGGCTGTGGCCTTTTTTCTCTTCCTTGACTTGGCTAGGTTTGTTCCAACTATATGGCCCCTGTACCTACTCTTACCTCTGCTTGGAATGCTCTACCCTAGACCTTCATTTGGTTTATTGCTCCCTTCGTTCCATTCCATCGTCCTGCCTAAATTTCTTTAAAGCACTTACTACCATCTTAGATGCCCCTGTTTGTTGACTTGCGTGTGCTCTGTTTCTCCCATCAAAATGTCAGCGATTTGACAGCGGGGCTTTTGCTATTTACTAGTGTGTCCCGGGCGCCAGGACACTGCAGGCAGGTATTTGGCGCTCAGTAAATATTTTCGGTGGCCGAACTCATGCACCCAGGCCAGGCCTTCAAAAGAAGGGCGGGCGTCCCAGACTCCTTCACATCTGACCCCGAAGCACCTGCAACCACTCACTCCTCGGCGACCCCAGCACCTCCCTCGAAGCCACCGGGTCGGACCCCTCACTCACCGAACCCGAACGGAGCGCCTTCCGCCTGAGCGGATGCTTGATCCGGAAGTGTTCTTAAGCAGGAGAGCCCGCCTCCGAGCCGAGGGAGTACTTCCGGGCAGTAGGAGCGGCGAGTCAGCGGCGGTGGCTCCGGTGAGGGTGGCCGCGGGCTGGGCGCGGGGCTTTCCGGGTTGAGGCAGGCAGTGTCGGGTCCCGGGCTTGGTCTCCCCCGGGGGTCGCTGGGGCTGGTGAGGAGGCGGCCCGAGGGCGGGCGGCGGACGCCTCACGGCGGGGTGCGGGGGCCGCCGAAATGGCTTTGGTTAGCGAAGCGCAGCGTTAGTGCGAGCGACTCTCGTCAGCGTCGGAGAACTTGGGAGCGTGTGTTTACAGCACGTCTCCGGTTTGGGACGTGCAGTTGGATGTGGGAAGAAGGGAGAAAGCTTGTCTGCCCATCCAGAGCAGCCACATTCATAACCATAGTAAGGTTGCAAACTACCGCCTCCGCCGCCAATAGTGACCGCAGCTGTTAACCTGCGAGCCCTTCGGTGACATCGTTGTTCCAGGCCCCTCCCCTGCGTGGTGGAGACTTTAGAGGAGCCGCTGCCGCGTTTGACCGGCGAGGAAACGGAGATGCAGAGAAGCAAAGTTACTTCTGGGCAGGGTTAGAAGAAATTTGAACTCCGGAGCCAGGCTCTTAGCTCTTAGCTTTGGCGCTCTCCATGTGGGTAGTGGAGGCGGGGGCAGCATATACATGCGTGTGTGCAGTTCTTAAAAATGTGGATCAACTTTCTAGTTGGGAATCATTCTCTTACAATTTTGAAAATAACACTCTTGTCATAGAATACCTGGAAAAACTAGAAAAAACATTAAATAGTGTAATTCCATGGACCTACTATTTATTCTTGTGTGTGTGTGCGCGCGCGTGCGCGCTGCTGCTAGATTATGAATCCATTGAGAACCAGGATGGCACAGCCGTGTAATAATGACAGTAATAATATAAACAAACATCACAAAACCATTCTTTTTTGGCCTCGCCTAAATGTCTGGCACAGTCTACGTGTTCATTAAAGCTTTGTTGCACAAATAAAAAAATAGGAATCACCAGTGTATAATATTTTGCCTTAGTCTTTTATTACATGAATCACGTTTATACAATATGTATGTTACATACTACATATAGTATATTATATAATAGTTGGGTTGTAATCTGGAGAGAGTATAAGGAAAAGATATTTAAAAATACATATTTATTCAACTACAAAAACATCGAAGTTTGTACAAGAGCTGTGTTGTCTTTCTTATTAGGCCCTTGAAACAAGTGAGGCAGAAATTGCCTTACATTACTTCTTTATCTTCAGAGCTTGTTAAATAGTGGAAATGCAAAAGGTATTGCAGGTGACTGAGTGAATGAGTACTTCTAAATTGTACTTAAATTGGTAGTTGTATCTGAGTTGTTTTTCTCTATTTGGGAAATATAGGTATGTATATCATACCCGAAGACCCTAGGCTCCATGACATTAATCTACCTTTCTAGACTTGTGCCTCCCTATTGTTCTTAATATATTAACTACTCCAGGTAACTGACTGGATCCCCTGTGCATTTGAGCTTTCTCATATATTGTTTCTATAGTCTTGAATTATCTCTTTGGTGTATTCATATGTCAAAATCCTAACTTCCTTTTATGTCAGGTATTGCAAACTTGAATGTCTGCAGGGGCTCACCATGTTAACATAAATGAATGAAGTGGATTTAAGGGGAGATCCTGGAGCATAGGAAGGCACTGCCCTATTTCAGAGGGCCTAACAGCTCTTTGGCATGAAGCAGTTATTATGCTGTCAAATATGGGCCTACTGTTGCCAGAACTTTGAATTTTACAGGAGAAATTGGAAACTTGTTAATAATTCATTTTTTTTAAAGTTTAAACACTCTATAGACTAAGTTAAAACATCTGTAGTCTTGATTTGGCACTCGGTTTCCCAGTTTGTAACCATTGCTCTAGGCTTATCTCAGATAATTTGTTTATGGATCATATTCCCTGATTCTTACAGACAACTTTCTGTTCTTTTAGAACTTTTTTATGTACTTCAGTTATAGTGCTGTTTTCCGTCTGTATATGTACCTAAGGTGTGTGTGTGTGTGTGTGTGTGTGTGAAATAGAGAGAGAGACAGAGAGAGTGCACGTTTGTGCACTTGATTTATTCCCTGGTGATTTTTGGTTAACCTGGGAAATTAATATCTGCTCTTTGTAGAAGTAGCAATATTATCTTGGCTTTAATTGCCAAAGAGCTCTACTTCTGGAAGGAATTGAATTAGGTAACATTGTTATTCAAAAACTGATCTGACAAAAATGTTATCTGATGGCTTAAATAATCTCTGGAAAAAAATTGAATTGGGAATAATTAATGGGAGTTTTGAAGGACATTCAGTAAATGGGAAAATTGACAGCTGGGACCTCATCAAAACGAAAAATTGCTCTGTGAAAAATTCTATAAAGAATGAAAAGAAAATCTACAGACTGGGATAAATATATCCACAAACCACATATTAGAGGACTTGAATATGGAATACATAAAGAACTTTCAACTGTAAATCTAATTAGAAAACCAAATCTAATTAGAAAATGAGCAAAAGATAGAAATAGATATTTTACTGAAGAAGCTATTCAGGTAAGCACATGGAAAGATATTTAACATCCTTAACTGTTGGATAAATGTACTTTAAAAGCCACAGAGGAATGCCACCACATACCTGTTAGAGTGGCTCAGATGAAAAATATTGATGCAACTGGTGAGCGTATAGAGAACTTGATCACTTGTACTTTGCTGGTGAGAAAGTAAAAAGCTATACTACTATGGAAAGAGTATGACTTTCACATAAAACTAAAGATGAGCTTATTATATAACTAGTAATTATGCTCTTGGTCATTTATCAGAGACAAAAGAAAGCTTTTGTTCCTTTATGAACCTGTATGTGAACTTCCATAGTCATTTTGTTTGTATAATAGACCCAAAATGGAAATGGTGTATATAACAGTTGGTAAATAGTTCAGTTGTGATACTTTCATACCATGGCATACTACTCAGAAATAAAAAGGAACTATTGGTACAACCTAAGTGGATCTGGAGGGCCTCATCGTAGAGTCAAAAAATTCTCAAAAGGATGTTATGATTCCATTTATATAACATCTTGAAATGACAAAATTTCAGATAACAAATCAGTGATTGGTTACTGTGGGTTGGGCAAAATATGGGAAGTTGCCATGGCTAAAATATAGCAGAAGGGATTCTTATGACTGAACTTTTTTTTAAAAAAATCTTGACTGTGGGTAGTAGTCACAGCATCTATGCAGATGGCTCTTTATATCCATGGGTTCCACATCCATAGATTGAAAATATTTGGAAAAACAATTATATCTCTGTTGAACCTGTACAGACTTTTTTCTTGTCAGTATTCCCTAAACAATATAGTGTAACAACTACTAACAGCATTTACAGTGTGTTAGGAATTATAAGTAATCTATAGATGATTCTATGAAAGGATGTGTGTAGATATATGCTAATATTATACAATTTTATGTAAGGAACTTGACCATTATTTTGTTATCATTTGGGAGTCCTAGAACCAATTCTCCAAGGATACTAAGGCATGACTGTATACGTGATAACATTTTATAAAACTATATATGAACATATTAGTGCCTGTAACACTGGTGAAATCTGAACATGATGGGAGGATTGTGTCAGTGTCAGTTTCATGGTTGTGATATTATTCTGTACTTACACAAGTTGTTACCAGGGAAAGTAAATGAATGTATATGGAAAATCTGTTATTTCTTATATTGCATGTGAATCTAAATCTCAAAAGATCTAAATAAGTAATTTATATTAAAAAAATCCTATGTAAGTAATTTTGTTCTTGGGCTCGTTTTTTACTAGGTGATGTTCTAATCATGTCAGATAAAGATGATGTTGAGAGTCAAGTGATAACTGAAGCAACCCTGGTTCTTGAAGAAGGAAACCATGAGCCAGCCAAGAATACTGAGTCTGTTGACCAAAGTGCTAAGCCAGATAGTAAATCTGAACCCGTAGTGTCGACTCGGAAAAGGCCAGAGGTCAAATCTTCTAGTGATCTTGAAACTCCAGAAGTTCTCCCTGTTCAGGTATTACAGGCTGCAGCCAAAATAGAATATCTGTTAAAATATTGGTTTTTAAAAATATTTGGGTTAAAAGTGACTTGGATTCAATGCTAATGTAAGGTTGCACTTAGCTTTGTTTTGTAGAACCATAAGATACATTTTCTCAGTTGTATAAATGCCTTTAGAAGAACTTGTCTTTGCTACTTGGTGCTTACAAGATGATAATATACATCTGTTAGTCAAGCAAGTATATCACTCATACTTTTGCTAAATTATTAGATAATCTTGTCTAACTTTCTGATTCTAATTTTTCTATTTTTTATTTTGTTTTTCTTCTTAACTGGGAAAAATAGGAGCCTGTTTCCAAAGATGTACCCCAGACTGGATGGGGGTATTGGGGAAGTTGGGGAAAGTCCTTACTTTCTTCAGCCTCAGCTACAGTAGCCACAGTAGGTAAGTCATCAGTAGTTTCATTATTTTTTATATTCATTTTGCTACAGACTTATGTTATACATGATTTTGATAATAATCCTTCCTTCCGTGATTACTCAGAGGCTTTATAGTTGTGGGTGGTTAAATAATGGGCTGATACATATTGCTGCTAGAATTTGAAGCATTTTTTCATTAGAAAGTTCAAGCCTGGGAATTGTTATAAAAAATGAGTTAAAATTTTTTATATTAGCTATGTATTGTTAAAATAATATGTCCTATAGCCATAATAATTTTAAAAACATGCAGATATTATTTTTGCTTTGTTTCTTTAGTTTTGGTAGCAAATAGCAAAAAATGTTATTTGTCTAAATAGGACAAGGTATTTCAAATGTCATCGAGAAGGCAGAGACTTCTCTCGGGATCCCTAGTCCCAGTGAAATTTCAGCTGAAGTCAAGTTTGCAGCAGGTTAGTATAAAGAAACATTAAGGCCTAGGGTTTTGGATTAAAATGGAACAGTTAAGCTCATTTTTCAGTAGGTATATTTTAAACATCTAATGCTCAGGGCATCATGGGACTGTGATAAGAAAGAGGATTTGGAATCTTTAGCTGTCAGAGTTCTGTGTCCTCTAACCAATCATGTGTCTCTTCACTTTCCACATCTACAAAACGATCTTGAAAGACTGTTATAAACATTAATAAAGCTATGAATATAGAATATGAGGATGTTTAACATTTTTCTTGGTATATTTAAGTGACCCAAGTGTTAGCTGAATTTAAATCTATTATGGCAAGAGAAAAATATTTTAATGAATAGTTTGGGGGTTGTATTTTTTTTTTTTTTACCTTTGGATTTTAATGAGGGTGAAGTTTTATTCTGGACACTTGCCTTGATCAATGGGAAACATACTCTCACTGAAACCAGGAATCAGGAGAGCCTGGGACCAAATAATAGAAAGTTTTTCAATACCTGGTTTTCTTTCTGTGTCAGGCACTTTATTTTCTCTCATATTCTCTTTGCTCATCTATGCCATTTTTTTTTTTAAGCAAACTGATTCTCTGTGCTTGTCTTTTAGTTCCAACTTTATATTGAATCCTAGTATTTATCCCCATCTGAGACCAACTGGCATCAGTTATTTCTGAGTTCCTAGGAGAGACAATTAGATTGGCCTAGACTTGAGTCACTTGTCCATAGGCAGGAGATGAGATCAAATTATACAAACATGTCTGCAAAGGACTTTGTGAGTTTGAGGCATTGTTCTTAGTGATGTTCTTAGATTACTCTGCTGAAAATAACAGAATAAGTGACTAAGAGTGAGTTTATTTTTTCTCACTGAAGAACTTCAGAAATAGTCTGTTGCAGAGATAGTTCATTGATGTTGGGGTTCTGGGTTGGCTTCTCTCCTGTTTTCTTTTGTTGGTTTCTTAATGGCTGCCAGATAATACTGCAACTCCAAGTATGATTTTCTAAAACAAGAATGCTCTCAAAGTCAGGAATTAAGTGGAAAGAAAGTACCATTTTCCCTCTTGCATCTCTTTAAAATGAGTAGTTTTCCCCAGCAATTCGCAGTGCACTTCTTCTCAGATATCGTTAACTAGAACAGGTCATGCTGTAGCAGAGAGAGGGTTTTGGGCATTGTTATAAACTTCCATATCAGGAGTTGGGTTCTTTGGCTCTCCTTTTGTTGACAGGTATTTATGGTATAGCTTAGATTGATACTTTCAAGGCATTATTAAGCTTGTTTAGGGTGAGTCTAGAGTAGCCTTTACTCTAAGGGCTTGTTTGTTTGTTTGTTTGCTTAATATTTATTTATTTATTTTTAAGTCCTGACTTCTGAGGTTTTTACTCAATTCCTAGTTGTTTAAAGAGCTCTTTATACTTTGGTTGGTTGAAATTCAAATGTTTCAGCTTAGCATGAGCTCTGGGGATAGTTTAGCTTACCGCTCCATAGCAGTCCCCCACCCCCAACTTTGTGGAGTCTCCTTCTGCCTGAGCAGTGTGGTATTCAGCCAGAGACACAGGGCACACCTGTGTAGTTTCTTGGACCTCTTAACATATGCAGCAGCATCCACTCTAGTTGGCTCCAGTCTTTGTTCGACTCATTGTGATGCTGTGCTATGCTGAATTTCCCCTCCTTGTGTTGTGGTTTGTTTGGAAAGTACTTCTCTACAGAAAGTCAATCCATTTGTAGGGTTCATGTTATTCCTTTTTATCCTGTACCACATCATGTACTGCCTCTTTCCAGTATCTGCAAAAGGTTGTTTCTTATATTTTGTCCAGTTTTGCAGTTGCTGTGGTAGGAGGGCAAGTCCTGTACCAGTTAATTCATTGTAGCTGGAAGTAGAAGTCCTCCCTATAATAGAGTATTTGATATAGTTAGATTATTTGATGTAGTTTATCTCCTATAAGATTTTTAAAATGAATAAAATAGAACAGTTTATTTGAAATATACTCTTTGGAATGCATGTCTGATTCCTACTAATGAGCCTGATTTTCTAGGATAAAATTGAGTTATAAATTACATATAGTAAAATTTGCTTTTTAGCTATGTAGGTTTTTGTGCTTCAAGAGATATATGGATGGCTATGTTGGAATACTATGTAACCATAGTACGTGTAGTTATACATACATAGAGTATTTCCTATATAAACTATTGGGATATAAAAGAATTTTCACTAAGAAAGTTCCTTTATGCCCTTTGTAGTTACTCTCTCCCATCTACTACCAGCCTTTGGCAAGCACAGGTCTATTTTCTGAACCTCTAGTTTTACCTTGTTCAAAAGATCATTGTCACTGAGATTATTCAGGATATAGTCTGATGTTGTATAGATCAGTAGTTTGTTCTGAAGATTGGATTTTATATTTGAAATGAAATAAAAATGGAAAAAAAACCCCTGCCTATTTGAATTTTCAGTTAAAATGGGCAAATTGTTTAAAATAATGAAAAGACCTAAGGACTTGAGTGTAGGAACTGAGTCTACACTTTAAAAAGTCACATAGATGCTAGTAAAGAAAACAATTAATGAATTTTCCTTCCATGTTTCCGTATTTCCTTCCTTTTGTAGGAGAGACAAATGCCAAAGAGAATGAAAGCTCCTCCCCAGTCATGGGGCCATTTGGTGTATTCTCGACCATTTCTACAGCTGTTCAGAGCACAGTGAGTAAAAAGTGCAAAGTGGCCTGCTCCCTTCTGTTTTTATAATGGATTTGTATATCTTTCTCCTTCTTTTCCTTGAAAAACCTTGAGAACTGATTACTCTTAAGGGAGTCCAAATCACTGAAGATCAGTCACCTCTCAGGTCAAGTAAAAGCTTTTTTGAAAGAAATAAAGGAATATAAGATGAAGAGTTAGAGAGGCTATGTACATGATATTTCTTTTTTATGTTTTCTTAGTACATAATATTTTATGGACCAGGAATTCTTAGTTTGGTGACCTAGGAAATGTCTCTGCTTTTACAAAGACATTTTTCTCTTAATTGTATCTTAAGTGGGCAGGAGGGCTAGGGCAGTGTGTGATCTTTATGGTAGATACTTGTAAAACTACAGATGATAAAAAGCATTTTAAATAGAATAATATAGGACAGTAATTTTCCTACACGAGTGAGGGTAGATAGCTAATACTTTTTTAAAAAAATTTTTGTTGAAGTATCATAAGTGTTCAGTATCATAGTGTTCAGTGTAAATATTCATGTTATGAATATACCCAGTCCCCCCACTGTGTCTTCTTCTCTGCCAAGATAACCATAGTCTTGATTAATAATATCATAAGTTAATATTGCCTGTTTTTATACTTTATATAAATGGAATTGTAGAGTATGTACCTGTTTGTATTTGGCTTCTTTCATACAACATTATGTTTGTATATTTTATCCATGTTACAGTTTGTGTGGATTTTCTTTGCTTTATCCCTTTGTGTGACTGTCACTTTTTTTCTTTAATTCCACAATAGTAAGCATTGGGTTAATTTCCAATTTATAGCTATTACAAATAATTCTGCTATCATCATTCTTGTTCATATTTTCTGATGTGCCTCTGTACATATTTCTCTTGAGTATATAATCATGAGTGGAATTGGTGGTTCATACAGCTGTAGTAAATACTGACTAAAAGTTTTTCAAAATGGCAACACCTATTTACATTTCCACAAGCAGTGTATAATTGCTTCACTTTTTCTACATTTTTCTCAATGCTTGGTTTGGTGGCCACTATTTTTAAATAATCAAAATATGCAAATATATTTTCTTAACATCGCTGTAATGAAGTTTATGTGTTTTCTAGGGAAAGAGTGTTATCAGTGGGGGTTTGGATGCCTTAGAATTCATTGGAAAAAAGACAATGGATGTAATAGCAGAAGGAGATCCTGGATTTAAAAGAACCAAGGGTCTGATGAATCGGAATTCTACATTGTCTCAGGTACTTTCTTCTTTACCTGTTTGATTCTTGTTTCTGTTTTGATTTGCATTTTTGCCTTTGCTAACTTGGGACCTTCTTAGGGTTTCCTTTTGAAGAATCTTTAGTGATTTTTAAAATTTAAGCTACTGAGGTAGGAAGGAGGTAGGGAGAGCTTGAATGCTTAAAAAAAATGCCTAGCTCTTTTTTTTTTTCTCCTTTTTTCATTCTGTAGGAGTTTCCTGTCAGTGAAATGCTAAACCCTATCAAAGTTGTTTATTAGATTAATGTTTAAATCACTTTTGGAGAAACACCTGGTTCCTTGGGTGTTATTTACACTAGCATCAAATTATGTGTTATCATTTTTTTCCCTGCATCTCCTGAGCCTATTGGATTTGAATTGCAGTGCCAAAAATGAAAGGGCAGTGCTCTGAACTCAGCTTTACTTCCCTCCACTCTCAGAACTCACCCTTGAGCTCTCATTATTTGCTTCAGTGTAACACCTCCATCTCTTTTTAGGTCTTAAGAGAGGCAAAGGAGAAAGAAGAGCTGTGGACCTCCAATGAGGTTACCATGGAAACTGACAAGAAAACTCATTATGGGCTACTCTTTGATGAATTTCAAGGCCTTTCACACCTAGAAGCTCTGGAGATGCTTTCCCGAGAAAGTGAAATAAAGGTAAATCCAAACTAAAAATCCCAGCTGAGAAGTCTTCAAATAAAGGAATGCTGCATAGTTTCTTTTCTCTTTCCACATTAGGAAGATGAAATGTGTTTCCGATAGAGGCTTGAGACTCTATGGAAATACTATACCAGAACAAACAAGAAACTGATTTTGAACAAATTGCTAAAAAGAAGTAGGATGAACCAAGTGTATATCTGTAAAATTACACAAAAAAGGATAGATTAATAAGGAGGTCCTTAATAACACATCTGCTATTTTTCCTATACCTCCGTCTTTTTTTTTTTAATAACCCCCAGTTTCTTTGGTTTCAGCTGCCAAAAACCTATTGACTTAAGCTGTTAATTTGTATACAGTTAGCTTTTAATTGATTCAAAATGATTTAATGTTCCTCCCTGATTTTTAATTTGTTTTTAAGCACTAATAATTTCCAGATGTCTCTAGCTTTTGTTAGTTTGGAAATACAGATTCTCTCTACCTTTCTGTAATAATTATCCTCTTGTGTTGCTGGTGAGCTCATAGTTCTGACTTCAGTTTGACCTATTGTGTCTTCTCCAGTTGAGAATTGTTTTTTCCTTTTCAGACTCTTACAGTTTTTTTTTTTTAATCTTATATACATTTAGGTGAAATCTATACTTAATTCTTTAAGTGGAGAAGAATTAGAGGCACTAAAGTTTGAATTAGAGCAACTCAAAGAAGCATTTTCCCTGGCAGAGTTTTGTGAAGAAGAGGAAGAAGAGAAAAAAGGTAATGTGAAAATTCATTATCTGAATGTAGAGGATGCAGTGTGTTTGTTTGCAGTGGTTTGCCCATGAAATAAATTATTTATTCTCTAATTATACTAGTTTGATTTTACTTTTTTCAGTAACAGTTTTCATGCAGACTCCTTTCTGCAGCCTTTACCCCTGACTGGTTATTGAAATGAGCAAGTCATTCTCATGTCCAGGTCTACTCTTCTTTTCACTGCCAGACTCTTTGGAGCTTCTCCAAGTCTATTTTTTTTTTTTTTTTTGTGATAATAGGAATTGAACCCAGGACCTCACACATGCTGAGCTATGTCCCAGCCCTTCCAAGTTTAATCTTGCAGAACACATCTCTTGACTCTTTTTTTTTTGTCTTTTTTTTTTTTTTTTGCAGTTAGAGAAGCTCTTGTCAGATACTTTCCTCAGTTTGTCAGGCCATCCCTATGAGCATCTGTATATCTAGATACTTTACCTATGCTTTTCTGACTTCTGTGACCCCCTAACCCATCTTGAATTGAAGCCTGCAAGATGGCAATTATCCAAAATGTGGATGATACTTTGTTTTTTTATTTTATTTTTACAAATTTTGTCTTAAATTTTAATATTTGTATTCCTTGGGAAATATAGACATTGAAACTATTCATTTTTGTAAAATTATCAGGAAACACGATAGTTTATATATATAGCACAATTTCTAGGCAACTGAATCTTAAGCTCTAAGGGTTGTTTTTAACATTAAACAAATTTTTTTAGTATCTTTATTTTATTTATTTATTTTTTATGTGGTGCTGAGGATCGAACCCAGGGCCTCACGCATGCCAGGCGAGCACTGTACTGCTAAGCCACAACCCCAGCCTCTATTTTTAACATTTTTAGCTGGAAATATTTCTAAGATATATTCTCTACTAACTGACTTCTTTTAGAAAGTGGAGTTAACGAATATAGTTTGCCTTTTCTTGATGAAACACTTAATTATAAACATTATTGAGTAGAAAAATTCTCTCATTGTTCATCAAAACATAAAGGGCTGGTTACCCATGTGGTAGATTAAATCAGTGGTTCACAAAATATGGTCTGTGCATTCTTAAGTCCCTAAGACCCTTTAAGGGAGTTCATGAGTCAAAATGGCATAATAATATCAATATGTAACTTACTTTTAGAAAAATTTTTGTTTTTATTTTTCACTGTTTTGATATTTTATCTTCACTATCATTGAACTTGCTTTGAGTCTCATTTGGTTTTTTATTTTTAATTTATATGAGCAGGAACCCAAACAATTAATCTTATTCAGGTTTCTATTGAGAGAGAAAGATCTCCTAGTGTAGGTTTTAGGGCCTTGTCTATGAGAGGAGGAAAAAAATTGTGTAGATTCTGCATAGATAAAGACTTTTACTCTTTTGTTTCTTTTTGTGTTCTTATTGGGTTCTAAGTCAAGATGTCTGGTTATGTAACATCTCATTAATCATACCTTATTCTGTATAAAGGTACTATTATTGATTAGAAAATGGTTTTTGAAAGCTGTCCTAAGATATTGAGATTGTGGTTTAGCTTAATGAATAAAAAAATGACTTTTTAGGTTAGACTTGGGTTCATATTTACTAAGTCTTGTAACCTTGAGAGATTACTTAACAGTGAGTTTCTGTTTCCCCATTGTAAGAACAGGATCTAATTCCTCTCAGGTTGTTATAAGGGCTCAACTAAATATTACATTTAATGTGTGGCACATTAGTAAGCATCCAGTAAATGATGGCTATTTTTAGGTTCATTATTAGGGAGATATAAATAAAGGGATAAAAATCTGCATTTTAAAAGTCTAACTTAGCAGGAAAGCAGTAACTTGATTTTGATTTGTTCCATTTGACCAAATATGACAGTGTCCAGTTATTTACAAACATTTAAGTTATTTGTGCATGCATTAATAGTATTTGTTTAATTTAGTCAACATCTGGCTTTGCATATTATTAGAAATTCTGATCTTTAAACACTAGAGGACTCTAAGGAGTTTTATAATCGAATAGTTTTGTGTCTGTGATACTTTACCCCTGTCTGTTTGCCAGAGATCAGAACTTTGAAGATACAGCAGTGAATTCTAGGACAACATCCCCATCCTCCACTCTGCCTCAGCCCTCCTAAGTGATTTTGATTGAGAATGGATAGTGTCTTTAGTGTTTAATTATAGCTCAATGAAGCTGTTAAAAATAATGGAGGTTGCAAATAGGAGAGAAAAATCATAGAACCTGGTTTTGGTGATGTTGGTCATCCTCATTTTCCATCAGCATCCCTAGCCCTTGCTCCTGATGTGCCTAATCACTTTACATAAGAGGGAATCATCTTGCTTGGGGAGACTCCAGCCTCTCTCATGAGTCCCTCCAGAGTACTAGCCCTGTCTCTCTTACATCTTTACAGAATTTTATTCTAATGCAACAGCTACTTTTTTATGTTCATTTCCATGGAAAGTATGTGATTGTGATCTCTTAAACATTTTTTTGATCATGAATTTTACCAGCAAAAGTTTATTGATCACTTAGACATTAATATCTATCTTCACACATATACATATACATACATATAAATGTTTATAAATTAAATACATTTAAATACCATGTTATTTACATTCTGAATTATACCCTAAATTAGAATTTTTTAATAGAATAAGATGAGTGTCCATAAATAAAAGCAGATTATTTTTTCCTATAGGCCTTTGGATTATTTTGTGAACCCTTTGAGATACAGATTTAGAACTTCTGTGGATTCAGATTCATCCCTGCACCCAAATAATTTAGGGCTTAGTTAGGAAATCAGAAATCACAGTGGCTATCTGAGAGTCAGATTTTAGATTTTTCATAGCAGGATGTCATTAGGTGTTTAGATGAGTTATGTGGGTTAGTTGTGTCAGTGAGATCAGCTTTTCCCAAGCCATGTTGTACTTGAGATTATTAAATCAATTTAATTCTCAACCTTAAATGCCAGAATGAGGAACAAAATGATAGTGGATGGAGAGAAGAGCCAAGATATATTTCCCCTTCCCTGGGGATTTTTTGGGGAAATACCAGGCATAAAATAAGTAACAATTTGCCCCTGTAAGCCATTGACTGGTGCTTAAGAAATGCTCATAAAGATTTTAAGTGCTTAAAGATTTCTTTACATAAGAATTTTCTTTTACATTTCATGTTGCAGAGGAGCCTTAGGTTGGGCCTCAAAGGGGAGAATGGATAGAATTTTTTAAAATTTCTTTTGGAGTTGCAGGTGGTCAGGATGCCTTTATTTTTATGTAGTGCCGAGGACTGAACCCAGTACCTCACACATGCAAGGCAAGTGCTCTGCCTCTGAGCTACAGCCCCAGTCCTGGGTAGAATTTTGATGGTAGAAAGGGAAAGAGATTCTTGCCATTCACTTAGAGATCTTGATCTTGACTCACGCATTTGTTTGTTTCTCAAATGTAGGTGTTCTATATTCCCATCAGCTGTGACTGGGCTAACTCCAACAGCTTCCTTAACCATCTTTCCAACATTCTGGAATCGCCTGTTCTTTTCACTTCTCAGTGTCCACCATTATATCTTTCCTGGATCATGGATTTGTACTTCAGCCTTATTTCCCTTTTTGTTCCCCTTCTTATCCATTCTTCACCTAGCAGCCAAAGTAATTCTTCTGTAATTTAAATTTGATCGTGTCTGTTTGCTTAGAAGCATTCAGTGGATCGTAAGTATAGAGTTTGAGTCCCTCATCATGGCTCCAAAAGCCCTTTATTTTCTGGATTTTACTCTCCTTTCTAGCTTCTTAATACTTTTCCTTTTATATTAGACACTTTTACCACTTTAAACTTCTTGCCATGCTTTCTTATATCCCCAGATCTTTGCACTTGTTTTCTCTCCCTGAAACTTTTTCCATTCTCCTTACTAACTGTTCTCACCTTTTGTGACTCAAATTCCATTTCCTTGGAAGCACATGCACAGTATCTGTTTAGTTAGTGCTCTACCTTCACCATTTCTTCATTATGGGATGTAATGCAAAGAACATCGGGAGCAGGAAGGGCCAAGGTTTGACTACTATTGCTGTGCAATCTTGTGGAGATCACTTCATCTTTTCAAGTTCTTGTTCTTAAACTCTAAAATGGGGTAATGACCCCCCCCTTTTTTTTAAAAGCTTATTCAAAACATTCATTGATGTAATATACATTAAAAAAAAAAAAAAAAAAGAAGATTCTGTGTAAGCACCGAAACTCCAAGCTCATGTAAATTGCTGCTGCTGCGGCTGCTACTATTGTTATTAATACTACTGCTACTGCTACCACTCCTCTTCCTTCTCACCCTCCTCTTGTTCCTCAGTAGTCTTTCTGGAATGTTTTACACGGGACTTGGTTTTTTAGGGGATGAAGATTTTACCAAAGAGGTAACAGAGCTGTTTTCTCAACTGCACGTCTCCTCCAAACCAGAGAAACTTGCTAGGGTAAGTTGTTTCTTTTTGGTAATTTTTATTATTTTATCTTAAATAATTTAGTAGAAAAGACCATAAGATTATAAATTCTGGCCAGGGGTGTCATCAAAATTAAGGATATATTATCAACATACTCAGAAAAGTGTTCCACACCTTGCTGCCTCCTGTTCTCCCCAGAATGGTGTGCTGAATCTGTATCCACCCCTGCCAACACGTCCTATCCTCACCTGTTATCATTTGGGATGCTTTGCTTATGTGAAAGCTTAATTTAGGCCAGAGTGTTTGTAATTTGAAGTTGACACTACTGACCAAATTTCATGATACCAAAGGGAAAGCCTCTGTTGAGGGCTCATTGATCTCAGGGCTTTGCAGAGATGATGAGTATGACTTGAGGCTGTCATTTCCCAAAGCTCAATGACTCAGATAATGACTATTTAGCATGTGGAAATGAAGAGTCTCAGGCCAAAATCTTAGTCTTTGGTGATGAGTTCTGAGCTGTCTTCAGTACATCTGGAAATAACACTTTATCAAAGCTCAGAGTGAATATGGATCCATTCTTTTCTTCTCTCCTTTATAAAAATAGAATATTCCTTAAAAAAAATAGAATATTCCTTATTCAGGGGTTTATCTTATGTTTTCTCATGCTTAAAGTTAGGCTATGCATTCCAAAGGCCAAAATGCCCTGGGAATGGATCATGCCCAGTTCCAGTGGATCATGGGCTCCTTCCTGCCTCTACACCCATCTCTCGCAGGCTCGAGAAATGTTTCAGGATTAATCAGCTGGGAGCACACATTGCTTCCTGGCCAGAGGGCTGATAGCCATTCTGTCTTAAGCATACTCATCTTCTCTCCCATACCCCATGGTAAGGAATATGAAGCTTAGTGTTTTATCCCAGTCTCCCATGACCACTGGAAATGTTGTATTCTCCAGGAAAGTTTCACACCATTCTTTTTTTTTTAATTGGGTGTTCAAAACATTACAAAGCTCATGACATATCATCTTTCATACATTTGATTCAAGTGAGTTATGAACTCCCATTTTTACCCCAAATACAAATTGCAGAATCACATCAGTTACACATTCACAATTTTTACATAATGCCATATTAGTGACTGTTGTATTCGGCTGCCTTTC